AGTGGGCAGGTGAGGGGCTGCTAAGAGTGGTTTTGCACTGGGAGATGAGTACTTGCTGCATCAGAACTCAGAAAACATCAGATGAGTTCTTGCAGGATCAAGCCAAGTGAGATTATCTCTTTTTTTGTGAAAAAAAGGGTATGTTTTCACAGAAGAGTCATTTAGATCTCAACTGCATCCCATAAACAGTTTCCAGTATGTTGGAAGTCTATACTAAATGTAAGTACCTTAGTTTAATGCAGTGAGTCTAAGATACAGCATATAAAATCAAGATAAAATTCTAAAAAGAAAATCATTTGTTTAAGCTCACAAGGCAGCTGAACTTTAAATCAAATTCATGAGCAGCTCCATTCCTCATTCATTGTGTTCTCTGGCAGTTTACAAGGGAATAAATCGATAAGTGCCTTAATATGATTGAAAGGATTATCTACCCATAAACTTGAGTACAGGGTTTCTAAAAAGATTAAAGTCCTCATTTAGGTATGACCTTGAGCTAGCAGTGGACATTAGGACACATCTATCTGCCTTACATCAGTTCAGGTAGGACTGTGGCCCTCTGCTGCACCCAGGACTGACCGGATGCTGTGTGGGAAGAATTCATTTTTTACAATGAAATATTGGAAACAACTTCTCGGGCAAGCTGCCAGGTTTCAATTTCAACCACCATGAAGGTTAAGAAAGAGAAAACAATCAGCAGACACCTGAAAACAAGAGTTAAGAGTTCAACAGGCACAAAAATTTCCCTGCTAGCAATGTGCCTTGAAATTTTTCCAGCATCAGAATTCAGTGTTGGATTTCTGGAACTAGAGACAACTTTGTCTTTCTTTTATGTATCAATCTATTTAATATTTAATCCTTATATATCATAGCATAGAGTAGTGAGTCTAAGAATGAACTCCAGAAGTCATCTGAGCTCAAATTCTGCCTGTCCTACATGTTTGGGAAGTTTACTTTAGTGCAAGTATCTTGGGGAAAAAATTATTTTTTTTCTGAAAGTTTTTATCTCGTCTTTACAAAGATTTGAAAAGTTTAATAAGGCACTGTGGAGAGATTACATGTGAGATGGTCAAAACTCTAAGACAAACTTAATCTTAGTATGGCATATCACTTCCTGTGTATATGGTCTCTATGGAAGTGCCTTAAAAATAATATATTTTTCCTAAAATAAAAATCTAATGCTTATAAATTCATTATCTATTATCTATTACCTATTATCTATTTATTATATATATATTTTTTCACCTTGCCTGCAAAGTTCAGCTGTGAAAATAGATCCTGTCCCTGTGTCATTTTCCATGTTTGCTTAAATGTATAACCATGAGCCTGTCAAACCATGACAAAGCGGTGGGTAATGGCAGCAAATTTTAAAAATCCATCCATTTCCCCAGTTTAGTGACATGGGCAATTTCCACTGTAATGACCTACTTAACAGAGCTGAAATCAAGGAGGAGCACCAGGGTAAAATCCTTTTCTGTGGGAATAGACCATGCTGTTTCTCCTCTAGCTTCATTCCTGGTGCTTCCCCAGATCAAGACCCAAGAGCTCATACTTCCACAGCAGATCTCACAATATTTAATCTTCTTAAAATCTCCACTACATGGCTATTGATCAGCATCTGCACTTCCCGTTAGCTTCCAAACCTTGTGCTTTCCATGTATGGTTTGAAATCACAAAGCAGATACAGGGATAGCAGCAAGTAATTATACAAAAAAACTACCCTTTGTCCATAATTTTTCTCCATTGTGCCCATGGCAACCCCCTGATGCTCATTCTTGGGTCATGGTTTTCCAGTGCCTGGGATAGGCAATGGATTGCCTGGTAAATAGCTCACTTGATTTCCCACTAAGTGACATCAGTGTATATTGCACTGTAGATACTGCTGGGAGGGGAATCATACCTGCTTTCCAGATCACCTCCCAGGCATGTGATTTTAAAAAAGGTAAGATAGTTGAGAGGGGAAAATTTAAAAGGAAAAAAAAAAAAAAAAAAAAAAAAGAAGAAGAAAATAAAATAAAAGAAAAGAAAAAAAATGTGATCGCTCACCTTGCATTTACATTTGAAACAAATCTCAGCTTCCTACTTTCACTCCCTCAGGTTTCATCTAAGCCACAGGCCTGAAAGACAACACCTTCACTCTCCATTTGGTTTAAAACACAAAGGAGGCTTATCATAAAACAAGTGGGAGGAGGGAAAATGTCCTTTAAAATACAATCCTTTCAGAGGACTTGTAAGAATGAACTGTATTTATAAATATTTTAACAGCCTGAATTTGGCTTAGGCGTGTCTTACGCATCTTGAAATAATCACCAAGTCATGAAGATTAGTTTCCCACTTAAAGTTTCTTCATAATTTAGAGAAATATTGCAGTTAGGAAAGAAAAAAAGGTATGTATCTTCATTTACTACAAGTAAGTGCAATTCTAGTGGGGCCAGTGAACTTAGAGCATCACAGAATCATCAAGGTTTGATGAGATAGCTTAAGAGATCTTTAAGATCATCTAGTCAAACCAACAACTCAGCACCACAATTACCCCAAAACCATATCCCTAAACACTTAAAAACTTAACATGATTAACAGTATGTTCCCATACTGTTGTTTATCCTAGAAGGATCATCTATCCTGTGACAAAAAAAAAAAACCAAACAGATAAGAATACTGAAGCATCAATTCTTATCAACCTTGATGTCGAACTTCAGCTCATCTTAATTACCTTTCCTGTTACACATCTCTCTTCTGGATCTTGAGCATTAGGGCCCTTTCTTTTATCTTTGATGGGCCAAAATCAGACATGAGGTACCGAGCAGGGAAAGCTAATTTTTTAGCTAACAAATGTATGAGATTTTTAAAGGAAGAGCTAAAGGATGAATAATATTTATCAGCAGATAAGATTTGTTTGTAAAGATACATAAATGTTAGGCAACCTGCTATTGCTATTTGCTTTTACTCATGCTATATCCCAATCAGCATTATTTAATTATAAATCTGCAGGCAAACTTCTTCATTATGCCCCTTAATACACACTAATGAAAGAAAAAATGTGAGTGCTGCAAGACCTTCACATGACCTATGCACAGTTTAATAACTACTTGCATTTAGGCTGCCTCATCTTCCCAGGACACCCCACTGACAGCACCAACGTCACTCAGAGGAGTTGAGGTCACCTTTGGCATTCTGGGTTTTGCTGTTTTATTTGCTTGTGTGCTCCTTGATGATCTAATCAATTTTAAGAATTATAGCAGAAACTATCACATGACAACAGGTATCATAATAGCACAGAAATCCTGCCATGCATCCAATTCATACAGATCTGACTTTGAAGAATTATTCCACAAACAGAACACCCTTCAGAGAAACTTACCCATTTGCAGGTTTGATTCCACAGTCAATGTATCCAGACAGAAGCCAGCAGGCTCATAAGGGCACCTTTAATATACTTTTTTTCCTAAGCCCTTGAACACCCACCTCTTTTTCCCCCCTCTCTTCAAATGTTATTATCTGCTCTCACTGGTAAATAATAAAAAGAAAGCTCAATGTATGGAGAAAAAAACCCAAAAAGCAGTTCTTCTTTCTGCCTGAGAAAACTACTTACAAAAATACTGGAATTCATAAAACACACAAAAATGGAAATGAAACCTGGAAGAAGACGTGTCATTTTGCTCAGCACAAACCAAACTGAAAACAACCTACCAAAATAAGCCAAGGTACTGTTGACCATAAAGCCTATTTTTGGATGGCCAAAGTAAGTGCTGTTATACCACACAGCATTACTAACTCCAGAGACTTCACTTTGGGCAAAGCAGCAGTTTCCCAGAGGAAGCTGTCAGGATGAGTTAATGGTCATGAGTGGAGGACACATTTGAGGAAGGGACAGGTACCAGAGACCACACCATTGGAAGCAGCGAAGAGTTTGTAATTCAGGTAGAGAACATGTGTTTCAATCTACCACCTGATTTTACATCAAGATCTGTGGGAGAACTTCTTGGGTCGAAGGGCCTACACAAGAAGTGCTGCAGTCCAGGGTGGGAGAAGAGCCAGGAATTCGTTTGTCCTGTCCTCGTGGCCTGGAGGCACCAAAGCAAGGATGCAGAGCAAGAGGGAGCTGTGCCAAGTCCCCTGGTCTGGGTTAGATAAGGATCACATCTAGACATGCACTCACAGGCCAGTTTGTGCTTTAGTGGATCTTTTTATGAATGTAGGAATAAATAAAGAAAGGGTCATGTTGCTTGGTGATGCAACAGACATCTTCAAGCCACAGGCCTCATCCTTGGAGGGATGAAGGCTACCCTCTGACTGTTCATTGTCCTTTATCTTCTATTAATAATTAAAAATATCCAGTTATAACACCTATATCTGGCAGCGCAAAAGATGGTTGCAAAAAAAGTTTTGTCTGGACAGGAGAAGAACTGAATCCTTTTCCCATCACTTCTGACAAATCTATTCCTGCAGCTTAATTTTCTACTGAAGCTGCAAGCATGCAATTCTAAAATAAAGATTTTGCTTTGCAGAACAGAAATCATCTAATGATGAGAACTCACTGGGACATGAGGAATTCATATTACAGATTGAGAGATAATTAAATTGGTAAATAGAGTACTTTCAGGAGGCTTTGTTCATGACAGAAACTGCACTGAGGGACCTGTAGTTCAGCAATGGCAGATTTTCTTGAAAAAGAGGTATTATATATTTTCATATACTTAATCCAACTGCCTCCAGTGGCTTGCCTTTTTTTAGATTCCATTTTTAGCTCTTAAGAAATAAGTAATTCTGCAGAATGAGATAGGAAATATTTATTCTACTGTTATTTATAGATCTACACTACTCCTTCATAAGGTCTTTTTTTAAAATGTTTTAAACTATGCAGGTCACTTGTGCTTGACCATAACAAGGCAATAAAAGTATGCTTCTGTTCACCACAGAAGAACATTGAGCTCCCTAATCACATTGCTTCATGCACCAGTGTTAAAAAGAAGAATAGTAAAGAATCATTGTTGAACTCTTACCAAAGCAGGAATTGACAAAGCCATACCACCTACAAGCATGGTCCCCTCCGATCCATTTGCCACGGATGTTGGATGCAAAACTGAGGGTAGTGCCCGAGATGCACACTAACATGTCACTGATGCTGATGTTCAGGAGAAGCATGTTGACTGGGTTACGAAGGGTTTTAAACTTGCAGAAGAGGATGAGGACAATCAAGTTATTCAAGAAACCAAAAAACAAGATTAATCCAAGAAAAATAGCCACTACTGTGTGCCCACTTCGTGAGAGTCCAGCCCTTGGCTGAACAGGATCTGCAGGTGCACCAAAGCTCAGGTTATACATCCAAGTGTGGTTCATTTCGGACTTTGTCACGGATCAGTGAGGGCAGAGATGCTGGGTGCCCTTTGCTGAAGTACTCCAGCTGTTTCCCAGAAGTCATTCCATCACAGATTAAATCATCTCAGGAGCCCCATGATCTTTGCTTGGATGAGATATCTCCTAGATGGTTATGCAGGTGTGAAACACTGTATTGCAGCACAGGACTATTTTCCTGTGCTGTGTCTTTCCAGGGGTCTGCTCTGCAGCAACTCCAGGGCAGCAGAACCGAGTGAACAATCACCTCAAATCCATCTTTCTTGTTTAAACTTAGGATAATATTAGATGATGTTTTTTGATGCTCAGAATGGAAGGTATCTTAAAAAGATGCATCAGCAGGGTCTCCTCCTTCAGAGCAAATGGACAGCCCCATCAATGGCAGCTACCCTCCTTTCCTCTGACAATGGGTGTCTCTCTGAAAATAAAGAAAAAACAAACAGTTAAAAGCAAACAACACAGAGACCAAAAAATAGGTATCTAATTTACTAACAGTTCCTCCTGTTTTGAACTGTAACAAGTATCTCTCATTCTTTTCAGTTTTCACTCTGATTTTTAACAGAAACATCAGTTTGTTTACATTTCCTTGTATGTTTTAAGCAATTTTTCCCTAGCTCACAGTTTAGCATGAAGAATGTCATTTGCACCTTCTTAGCAAATTTCCTCACGTGAGAAAATGCATGGCAAAACATAACTTCTGCATCAGCTTCCCAGGGGAAGAACTCTGTCTTCCTCCACATTAAGTCAATCTACACCAAGTTAAGTTTCATTCTTGGCTTGACCTTAATTGAAATTATAGCAAATTTAGGAGGAGAAGGTATTTCTTTACCCAGAAAGAAAACTACCAAATGATGTCCCCCAAGCTCTCATGTGCACACAAAGGTTTGCATATCTGTGATTACAGTATCTCTCCTCCCACATTTACCAGTGAACAGATGTCTTCCTTTATTATTCATAAAGCAGTCTGACATCCAAAGCCTCACATCTCTCCTGTCACAGGTGTAAATTTTACCCACATTCAGTGAATACATTGTTTGTGTACTTTGTGAGACAACAGTATTTAATGTGGATTCATAACTACGTAGCCTGCCTTCTCTGGTTGCAGGCAAATTCTGCACAGAATTTTCCATAAAAATGGATGTGTGTATATGTATATATATCTATATGAAATTTCCACTCCTCAGTGCAAAATGCATGATACCCATAGCTTGCTGGTCGAAAAAAATATGAAAGCTTCTCTTTCATGTGTCATGGACTCCTAGAATGATTGCACACATGTTAAAATGGAGCATCTCCTCTATTACTCCTAACTGCTGTTTTCTGGAAAATGTCTTGTAGAAGAATATGTATTCAACAACTGGAAAGTAGAGAGTTCAGTTTCCTGAAGATCCAGAGGTTGCTTGGTTTTTCTTTTATATCTTTGTGTCATGGTAAGCATTTAGAATAAGCATTTTGTCCTTCCATTTCTCTACTTCCACAAACTCACTGTGCTAAATGTTGCAGTGATTTTAATGTCTAACATATACAGACTGTCTTAAGGTTTTCTTCTGGTGAGTAAATTATGTACACTTCACAGACCTTCTACTGTTCGGTCACTGAGAATCTGAAACACTCATGCTTTCTTAATTTCTCCTCTCCCTTTAGGAGGTACATGGTAATTTATGTTGGAAAGGGTCCCAGGTAGCATATCTAAGAGAAAGAACTTTTTAAGTCCTCTTCCTACAATTTTGAAAAAATAAAATCTCCTACCCAATTCTGGTTGCAGGTTATAGAATGAAACAATCACCATCAATATACTCTAAATTTACTTGTAAAAGTGTTTAAAAGAACAGAGTTAAAATTTAGTGGAAAAAAAACCCAAATCTTAAAAATACTCTTCTGAGCATTTCTCTTAGGAGAACAGACTGAGAGAGTTGGGGTTGTTCAGCCTGGAGAAGAGAAAGCTCTGGAGAGACCTTGTTGCAGCCTTTCAGTACTTAAAGGGGACTTTAGAAAAATGGGGAGAAACTTCTTAGCAGAGCCTCTAGCAAAGGGGTGAGGGTTTTAAAACTAAAGGAGGGTCAATTCAGGGTAAATCATCATGAAGTTTTTTACAACAAGGATGGTGAAACACTGGAACAGGTTGCCCAGAGAAGTTTTAGATGCTCATCCCTGGAAGTATTCTAGGTGAGACTGGACAGGGCTCTGAACAATCTGAGTTGAAGATGTCCTTGCTTATTGCAGGGGGGTTGGACTAGAAGAACTTTAAATGTCTGTTCCAACACAAATTATCATAGGATTAAAAATATACCTCAGAATGTAAATAATAAATTGTAGCTCTATTATATAGTCATCCTGCATTCTTAAAAACAGACCAAGAGCTCTCATTTATCATGCTTATAAAAGGATATTTACTCCCTGGATGGGATTCAGCTGACTAAAATTTAGCAGTGTGACACCAGGTGTGCAGGCACAGCCCGGTCATTTCCCCACTGACCACCACTCACACAGCTTCAGCTGGGCAACTTCTGCCCTGGTGTGTTGGGATATTATACCTTAAAGCACAGGCAAGATGAGCAAGTCCTGAAAGTTTGGTGTAAGACACATTTTAAAATGTTACTACCCACACTATAAAGGTCAAGCCATGCGACTACTCGAGCTCGAAAGATGACAAACATGATGCACAAAGATGAGCTTCAAAAAGTCTGGGTGAATTTAAGAGAGAGAAGTCTGCAGAGGAAGACATCTGAAGATCTGGGCAATGTGGTAAAGTCTCTTTTTAGGAGTTCATGTATAAAGTGCTATGTTTTTTACACTTATGGATGAGGTAAAAACTAAATTCAGATTTCAAAAAAGCTTCTAAACTCCCATACTAATCTCTCGAAGAATGGATCCAAGTTTACCTAATGTTAGCATTTAATTGAATAATACACATTATTGTTGAAAAACACCTATAGATGAACTTTAGTGCTCAAAGGTTCACTTGATTTTCTTTTTTTTTTTTCTCCTCCAGAGAGATAGCTTGGTTTAATAGATGTTACTCTGGAACTCTATTAACCCTGTCTTACAGGTGACACTCTGCACTCCCCAGGACTCCAGCAGCTAGAAGTACAGCCTGAGCCCTCCCAACTCCTAGAAAACTCAGGAGCTTTCAGGTTTTCCAATTCTGCTTCTCAATAAATATTTTAAAGCCCCAAATCAATAAAACCTACAATTTCATCCAAGGCAAATAAATAAGCATCCAGCTTGTCCCCTTGAATCTGTCAGAGTTGACATGGAATGGAAAACATACCCAAAGTGATACAAAACATATGGCCAGGTGAAATGGCCAAAAGTTTGTTTAATGTCACCAGCTATTAAATGCTCCATCTGTTAACCGGTTCTGACAGTATAAGTCTAAAGGTACAGCAAAACAGACACCCATCACTGCTAGTATTTTCTCTGAAGTAGTCTGTTGGAAAAAAATAATGCTTCAGAAGATGTTAGATCAGCTTCTGGGAGCACAGGCTTTAATACTGAGAAGGAGAGGCTTCTTTTTGCACTTGACACCACACATTAGCTTGAGTAGTGAAGCTGGTTTATTTCCTTTCTCACTTTGCTCCCAAATAACATATTGAACACATTAGCTTCACAGGTTTCCACCTGGGAGATTCTTCACCATCTTCTCTTGCCGCGTTGTGCAACATGCCAAATATGATGCTTAATTCACTTTAAATATTTAAAATCTGAAGAAAATGCATAAAATAAATAAAATCAAACTTCATAGTACTAAAAAAACTTACCCTTTTCCATTATATCTACATTATTCTCTCAGGATATAATGGAGCTATAAAAACCCCTTTTATATTCCCATCGTCACACAACCTAAATCAACTTGTTGTTCAGTTCATATAAAAATAAATTTTAGAAGCGTTTTCCTTAAAAATTTGTATTTCTAATGAAAAGTTAAATTAAAAGCAAACAAACAAAGCCCCCATCAAAACCAACCCCCTTACATAACATTTCAAAGACAATCCCAGATGAAATTTTATGAAGGAAGAGTCACTTTCTTGATCTGCTGACAGAATTATGGCAGGAGCAGTACATTTTTAAGTTGACATAATTTTAAACTCATCTTCCAGATGAGAAACTGAATTGCTTTTAACAGAAAATATCCAAAACCAGAGGTATCAGCTGAAACAATTATTTTAAAACACAGCCAAAAGATGAGGGTCTTCATGGGACTTCACAATACTGAAGTCAGAATTCCCATCTGTTCTGGACTATTTTTTCCATGCTCCCAGCCACACTGCAAGATTTCAAGAGATCCAGAGAGAGGTCTTCAGAACTAAGCTGGAAGAGTGAGAGGAGGCTCTATGGTTCAGAAGTTGGGGTATCTCCCAGCTCCCCAAAACCTCTTGTCTGTGGAGGAACCTCTTGGATGCCGACTGACAGATTTGCTTTAAACAGTTCACGTTCATGACACAGACAGACATGGAAAGGAGAACAGCATAAGTACAGAACACGTGTGGTGAAGTTCACACATTTGAATGCCGTACTATTTACTCAAGGGGAAAGTCAAAGTGTGGTAAACCCCTGCTTTTTTGAAAAAAGCTACTTTCATTTAGTAATTTAAAGTTAAGGCAACCTCTCTTGCGTGCAAAGGAGAAGTTTATGCACAGAAATGTCTATGCTAAGAGCAGACGAGACAGACCCATTCCTGCGCTGGGCTGAAGCCATCAGAAGCGTCTCAGAGCCCGAGCCGGCACTGACAGCGCCTCTTGAACGCCCGGGCTCACCCCGTGCTTCTAAAGACTTCCCCAGGCAAAAGCCTCTCCAGCCAGCCTCCGCTTAGGACTCTACTTCCACAAACTTTTTTACACTTCGCCGGCAGGGGAGGGTGGCACAGCACACTGGAAGAAAAACCCACCTGTATCTTTCATCCGCAGCAACCCAAAGGGAAAACAGCCACAAAGACGTTCTGAGCGGCGGCAACAGGAGCCGCGGTGCCCGGCTCGCCGTCCCGG